GGAACGGGCAGGGCTGTGGCAGTCTTAGCTGTCTTCAGCCACAGCTACTGGCATGTGTTGTACCAACAGGGAAGGGGCTTGAAATGATGAAGAGCTCAGTGCCCTCACCCAATTATTTGGGGAAAACCCCGCTTTTTTTCCCCTCTTTCTCTTTTCTCTTGTGTAAAGTAGAGATGATTATTTATCTGAAGGGAACTGTGAGCTTAAATCCCTCACTGTTTGTACAGATGTGCTTAGGTCTTGCAGGAGAAAGCTGCTGTTGCTGCGAGAGTAGCTAGATTAGGGCTAGCTTTAATGATGCTGTAGTTCAAGAATTTCCATCAGCAGGCCTAGATGTGACACAAAATTCTACCTGCACGTATTGGTACCAAATCTGTTCATGATACAGGCCATCCAGGACAGCAGGGCATGGGGTCTTTATCCTTGGGAGGTAAGCTGGACTCCAGAGTAGATGTGTGTTTCTTACCTATGTGGCTCACTCCATTCAGCAACTGTCTCTTCATGTCTTGGAGCTGCATCTGGATTTGTTCCAGTCTGAGGCTGAATTCTTCTGGATCGCATTGTTCTAGAGCAATCAGACAGCTGAATTTACAGAAGGCCAGGACCTGCACATGGTAGATCTTCTGCTTTCTAGCAGAAGGTCTGGGGAGAACCTTTCTTTTAAAACGCAGTGTCTCACCTCCATATGGTGCCTGCCTAATCAGCCATCCCAGAGCTCTTTCTGCCATGGTCAGTGTACCTCACCATATGGATGCAGACACACCTGAACCTGGTGTTCTTGTGGGGCCAGGTAGCACCATGGATCTTGGCAGATCTGTGTGACACCACTGCAGTCAAAACCAGGGGCTGACACCCAACCTTCAGCCACCCCTGCACCATTAGAAGCAAGACGTGTTGGCAGGGGTGAGCAGGCATGTGGGCCATCTCCACCTGATGCATGGGGACACTGCTACTCCCGGGAAGGGTGACCTCCACCATGCCTAGCTTAAGTGATTTGCAGCTTAACTCCTTCCACACAGGCTTCTTGCCCCTGCTAGGGGAAAGTCTGAGCCCTGTCTGCTGACTCCCTTTACCTTGGGTGAGGTTGGGTCTGAAGGAGGACTCCACCACTCGCCCGTTGAGGGGCTGAGCATGCCGGTAATCATTGCGCAGCGTTCTGTTTTGCCAGTCCAGCAAGGTGTTCTCCAGGAGGCTGATCTGTGAGTAACGCAGCCTTGTTATGGAGGGCAACAACAGTTTTGCCTAGAAGTGCAGTGCAGATCCTGCAGCTCAGGATTAAACCTGCAATGTTTTACAGAGGAACCCATGGGGTCTCTTGCTGAGTATTTGCAAGGGAAAGGAACAGAACATGAGGGCTCTTATCAGCTAATTCGTGATAAAAGTATGTTGTCTGAATGAAGTTTGTAACACCTGCCTGATAGTATGCATGGATGGAGGTTTTGCTGCTATTCTGTAGCGTACTGCTTTCTCACGAGTACCTAGTAGCGTTCTCCCTGCCCAAAAGTGTATTTCTTTTTCAAATGAAAACACACCGTGACCCTCCACTACCGTAGTCTCCACTTTAGCTTGTTCTTCTCCTAGAAGAAAATGTTTCTGATGCTGCTTTTTCATTAAGGAAGACGAATCACCCTGCAAGACTCAGCAGTAAGCTTATTTTACTTGTGTTACTTTTGTTCCTGCTAAAGCCTCGCAATGCCTCTGACAGCCTGGACAAACCCTCTCCTGTCACGCAGCCAAAACTCACAGCCGGCCACCCCTGAAATGACTCCATCTAGCTGTATGACGTAAGCATAGACAAGAAAAAAACCCCAAAACACTCTTCTAAAAATATCCTGATTATTCTGCGGTTATTTTTGCTATGAATGGCTCTTATGTTTTTGGGGAAGGTTTTATGGACTCGCCTGCAGCAGTTTTAGCCTTGTTGATTCTGACTGGTCTCTTTGGTTTTACAGTGCTTCAGTATGGTCGAGCTTAACTGAGCAGAGAGCTTTCTTATTGCTCACCAGACCTTGGGTAAACTGCTACTGTGACCCTTGCTGTGATGTAGCATCACAGTGTAGTTACAGCCCCCTGTAATTCCAGTTGCTTAGGAGTCTATCCCAAAAGCCTGTGTGAGAAATGCTCTATTAGCTCCTCTGTCAGGCTGTGCCCCAAATCACTGGAGGACAGAAAAGGAAACTTGTATGGAAAGGTGAAGCGTGGAGGGAAGAGAAGCTGCTGTGTCTGGTAAACAGCTCTCCCTTACCTGTGTGTGTGACAGGACAACCGGAGAATGGAAGATGGTCCAGATCACACTCTCAGAGCAAGGTGGGGTTGTCAGTGAGCCCTGGTACCTGTAGAAGTGGGAGAGGTTTTCGGGCAGCATGGCTTGGACATCCAGAGAAATGAGTTTTGTTGATTGACCTCAAAAGGAAATAGAGAGGCGATATCAGCAATTAACGGGGACCAAAGAGAAAGGCAAGAGTGGTGTTAAGAGCTGGGGCTGGTAAATCACTTTGCCTAGAGCACCGGTATATTAGACCTCTGGCAGAACTGGATGAAGATGGAGGGGAGTGAATGTTCCTTTAGGTGGATCTAGGATTTGTCATTCAGAGATACCTGGGGTTCTGGAGGTGCTGGGCAACTGCACCTCTGTGCTCTGCCAGTAGCTGCTTGTCTTCCCAGGAAGCAGAGCGTACTCGTGTAGCAGAGCATGTGCTACCTGAGAGTGCAGACTGCAGGGCCCTAGGAGGATGTTGTTTGGTGCTGCAGTGTGTTGCGTGGACCTACCAGGAGTAGGTTTGTTGCTGCCTTGAGCATCTTGCACAGCCACCCTGCTGTGTGGGCCGCTGTTTGAGCTGCGTGGGCAGGGATGGCGTGAAGCTGCGCGTGGCTGAGGATGCTTGGCCACGTAACCGCAAGCAAAGCAGCAGCAAAATGTCTGTCCCCAGACCCAGTACATCCTGCAAAACTGATTTTTGCCAGTTTGGAAATGAATTCACTGTAGTAGGTGTTCTCAAAGTGTCCATCCTAAACACAGCACAGCAACTTGAACAAAAGGTTAGTGACCTGCCTGTCCTTCTACACTACTAATCAGCTTGGGGGACTGATTGGTGAATTGGGAGGCAGAGAAGAAATGCTATCCCAGATGTCTTGATAGGCTGGGCAATCCTAGGCATGGTAAGGTGTGTACACGTACGTCTTGGGTAGAATAGTGAACTACAAGGATCCTTTTCACCACTTGTAAATCCACACAAAATCAAGTGTTCCCATTTGCAAATCAGAGCAAGACCTTGAGGTACAGCAGCGAAAACCCAGCTGCCACACCAGAGAATCCCTCTGTACTTCTTATGGGGCAGATTTTTCTGGGGTTCACAAGTTGTGTTGGCTGGTATTGAGCAAACCCCAGATGGCATAAGGGAAGAACAGTCCTGCTAGAGCACAGCTTCTGCAAACTGGTGGCAGACTTCATCTCTTAGGATAGATGTGCAAACCTAGTATGTGCTGCTTGTATCTGGGCTGCGATTATAGTATAAACAGTGATCACAGACTGTCCTTGCTCCGCAGCCTGGGTGTCAAACCTACCGTGTACAGGAAGGCAAGCACAGCCAATCCATTTGGTTTGTCCTTGGCTTCTTCAAAGCTTGAGTAGTCAGCTGAGTTGTAATGGACAATGTGCAGCTGTCAGAAGAGAGACAGGGTCATTCAGCACGAAGTGATACACGGCTTTCTTGGTGCTTTAAATGACCCAATACAGACTGAAGGGAGGGTCACTATCCCAACTCCTGCTGCTTGTGCCTTGCAGCACAGCCAAATAGACCTTTAAAGAGGTTTGTGATGAATGTGAAGGAACAACTCAATCCTTGAAGGGTATTTGTGTTACTGCAACAGCTTTTCTTGGTCTTCTGCGCCGGCACCGTCAGCCTCAGCCTTTGCGTTGCACCAACCACCTGCACTTAGGGGAGCCCTGTTTCTCCCACGTGCCCCTGCATTGCTTCCTGCAGGCTTTGTGGGCTGCAGCTTCCCCTTTCCCAACTGCCAGACTTGCAACGCACCTGCCCACCAACCCGCTCTCCTCGCAAGTACCTCTGCGAAGTATCTCATCCCGTCTATGGTGTGTTCAGAGCCGCTGGTCTCCAGGTCCAGGCCACCCCAGTGCAGATGCATCTGTACAGCCGTGTAGAGGCCTGGGAGCCCTCTGGAGATGTGCATGGTGGGGGGCAAATCAATCTGAACTGAAAAAAGCAGAGACAACAATGTGTGCAGCCATGCCCTTTCTTGTAGTTACACTTACAGTGCCTGGTGCTTTCTGCTGCTAACAGCCTCTCTGCAATAAGCTGGTACAGTCATGTCCAGGGAACTAACTCCAGCATGCAAGGAAAACCACTGAAGCTTAAAGCTAGGGGTGCATAACATCTTTCCTGACCTCATGCCCGTGTGCCACAAAGACCACACCAGGCACAAAGATGACTGGGCACTAGCTGTGTCTGTAGGCTCTTTTTTTGTTTGTTTGTATCTAAGCTGCTCTGGGTTTTTTCTTGGGCAGTAATAAAAGTGCTTTAACGCTCATCTCTCACATGGTCCATCACCTCTGGCAGGGCTCTGCACAGATTTAACTCCTTTATTTCCAAGGAAGAAAAGGGGGATAGAAATGCACAAAGTGACTGGCGTCATCTAACCTAATCACACTTTGCAGTGTTCCAGACTCTGCACCATTCACAGGGACTAATCATTTTGCTTCACCTTGCCAAGGAGTATTCACAAAGAGACAAGGAAACATTTGTCTTCCTGCTAATGTACTGCCACAAATCATACGTTCTGTTAATAAATATGCCAAAGCTAGGAGTGAAAAGGGAGAATTGCCTCATCCTAACGAAAGCCCAGAGCATGTTATAAAAAATAGCAACTATCCTTGTGAAATGTAACACAGTATATGATCCGTTAGTCTTAGTCTGGGTTTGTGAGAATGTTCTTTTGTTTGTAAACTGTTCACAGACAGATGAGATGAAAACATGTTTCCTTGTAATATCCCAAAGAGCCTAGAGTAGGGTAAAAAAACCATCTGCCTTACATTTTACAGAAGATCCCTGCTTACTGCCTTCCATAATTAGGGTTATTTACCTCAAGTACCTCATTATGATTTCTATTTTCTGCAAAACAGAGCCAGAGAATTGTGTTCTGAGTTTATAAGAAGAATAAGTCTTCTGTAAGGTATTTTATGCACTTTTTTTAATGCACTTATATTTTTCACTTTGCTGAAAGCGTGGGGGTAGGTAACAGCCCAATTTGCTTCTCCTTTTCATCCTTGTAAAAGGTGTGGGGAAAGTACAACAGCTCTGAGCTGGAAGTGCCTTACTCCTGCTTAGCTCTGGCTTTGCCAGGCAGTGAGAAACCAGCCAGGACCGTGCTGTGTGAGTCTGACAGTAGCTGTGCCTTTAGCATTTCTGCTCTGCCACTTGGACTCTTGTCCATTACTGCCTTACAGACTAGAGACCATGCATCCAGGCTCTCTTCTCATCTCTGGTCTTGGAGGCAGTTGAGGTTAATGAAAAATCTAAGAAAAATATGCTACTGGAGGAAGCTGCACACACCCTGCACAGATGACACTTTAATCTTCCAGAGCTGTGCATGTCCTTGCTACCTCGTAAAGGGCCAATCCTGTTTAAAAAGAAAGTCCAAATACAAAAGGCTTCATTAACCTGAGGTTATCGGGGTAGAGTGTGTCTGCACAGATGTGGTAAATAGGTGCAAATTCCTTGGGCAAACACTGCACTACTGCAAAGAGGCTTTAGCAGGTGCGACTTAGCCTGGTAATTATACAACTAGAAAGTGTAGCTGGTTTCTTAGGTGAAGCACTTGGCCTTCAGCTCCTGGGAGCCTGTAAGGAGGCTCCTGCTGATAAATCCATCTCCTGTCCCTTTCAGATAGGCTGAATGTTTTCTGATGTAGCCTAGTGGAATATTTTCCTTGAGAGACACTTCTGTCCCATCACACTGAAGCCAGTAGGAAAACCTTGCCTGACTTCACAGGAGCTGCGAGTAAGGGCAGTCATTTACCTTTGTGCTTTACTAAAATGTCCTGCTTCAGCAAATTGTTATTTTGATGTTAACAAAAGAACAGGAAAATACACGTGTCAAGTCAGATCTGAAAGCTAAACCTGCAGGAATTAATTTGTAGGCAGTCAGGGTAGCAATGCTGACATGAGAGCTTCTAACTGAATGTTGAGCTCATGTGGGTGACAAACAGGAGTTACAATTTTTTAGAAATACAATCACAACAGTCTTTCTCTGAAGGCAGTATGTGTCTTATCAGTTCACATCCTTGCTTTCACTCTGTATTTCACTTGTATTTCACTCCGTTACAGAGAGGAAGAAAGGACTGTCATGCGGGATTACAGAGCTACCAGCTCTATGTTCCAAACACCTTCCCAGAAATACTCATTCCCTCCCCACTGCAGCTATTACAAAATTCTCTCATTGCTCATCTGTAGTCCAAAAGCATTATCCCCAAACTGCCAGCTGATGAATTATTTAGACAATGAATTACAGACTGCAGCAGGGGAATCCAGGACCTCCTAAATTTTAAGTCTTGCCCTGAGACTGTGTGGCCAAAGGCAAGGCTTGTAACCCATGCTGTGCCTCAGCTTCCCTTCCTGAGCCCCAAAATAGCAATCCTCTTACTATAAAGGAGGGATCCTCCTCTGTATTGTACTTTGTGTGACCTACATCTAAGCAAATCTCAGATTCCAATTTGCTACTGAACTATGGTTCTCCATTCCTATCATTCTTATTGCGCAAGGGCAAAAGATGCATCTTCTGAATGCAGAGAGGAACCAGTATGCCCCAAATACCACTCACTACTGTAGTCCTGCAGGCTTGTACTTCACTGAAAAAAAGGGTCAATCTATAACACTCTAGCTGCCTTTTATCCCTTTTTAATATCTAATATCTTGCAGAACCGTAACTGCCTTTTATTTCTCTGGTTTATATATGTGTTTCTGGAAAGCTTTCCTGTGTGACTGGGGAAAACAGCCAAGCTAGGAGAGCAGAATGAAGTGAGATGGCAAAGCAAAGTGAGGTGAGTTGAAAATAAAAAAAAAAAGGGAGGGTACTGTCTGTGAATAGCATTTTAGAACGATCTGTTCCTGCACTGTCATGAGCTTGACATCCTCTGAGGACATCTGCTTAGCCAGGGAAGAAAAAACTTCCCACCGCAATGGCAAAGCTGGCTCATTCGACTGCATTTCAGCCTAATGTCACGGTGGCCACCAGAGCTTTGTGATCATGTTCCAGCTATAGCAGAGTGCTGAGGTGAACATACAGGAACTGTTCCTATACCCTGCCTGTGCTGGGGAAACTTGTGCCTGAGCTCATACAGTCTCCTGTATACCCCAGACACAACGGGGTAAGTGCATGCTACCCTGCCCAGGTGAAACGTCCATCGGATACACCACGGCCTGCTTTACAGCTTAAAAGCAGAAAGCTGTCAGGTTCAGGTGTCTCTTCCACCAGCTGTCCCAGCAGGAAGGTCTGTGCTTTCTCCCACTGAACGCGCTGCAGGACTCACCACGGTACGATGCTCGGAAGCCTGAACTTATCCGTGCGGGATGGCAGCAAAGAGGGGTGGATAAGAGAGTTGGGTTTTCTGGACAGACCTGCCATTAAAGACCTCTGCATTTCAAAAATTTTAGGCCTTTGCTTGGCTGCTACTGGTCTGTCCCCTGCACTGTTGGCTGCCAGCATCACCTGCTGCCATGGAAGCACTGCATGGGAGGCTCTGGATGCTGCGTGCGGGGTGATCCATGCCTGTACCGAGCCATGGCTTGGGGCAAAACGGGGCTGAAGGGGACAGGCAGCGCTTGCTTCCTTCTGCCTTAGAGCTTCTCGCTCTGATACAAAGGTGACGGACAGCTGGAGCTGCTGCAGGACCAAATAAACTCCTTGAGCTCTGTGCCCTGATTCCTGTTTTGGGCTGCTCCTTTATCAGCAACGACTAATTGCCCAGCTCCTCTTTTTAGGTAGGCAGTGAGAAGGATCCCCTCCGTCTTACCCGAGTGACCGTTGTTGGTCATGGTGAAATCCCCCTGCAAAGGCCCATCGTAACCACTCAGCTCCAGCTGCAGCAACTGGGGGTTGTACCTCACTTTTTTCCTCTGGATGTCAACTGGAGACTGGCGCTTGCCAGCACAGTCTGCAAAGTGCTCTCCCCAGTGCTCTTCATCCAGCTCTCCTTCTGTGAGGAGGAGAAGCAAACCAGGTTATTGGGACATGGTGAGAACTGAGTCAGAAAACTCTCCTCATTTGTCAGCAGGGCACGTCCATCTACTTATTGTAACACCCGGAGCTGCAGCGGTAAAAGGTTGCTCTGCCTTCCCTGGAGTGAAAATACACATTATTCTGTCTACAGGACAACTGTGCTGCAAAATAAGAAACCTGCATTGCAGTAACAGCTTTCTGAGCGCTGGAGACCGAACCTCCACCAAAAGAGAAGCAGTGCTTATATAAAAATGGGGATTTAAATGGGTCTCAACTGCCAAAGGTGTGGAATCAGGTTCTTAACCAATGCGAGAGTGAATAGGACCAGGGCAATAAGTGGGAAGTCTCTGCTTAGGATCAGGAACTGGCAGCAAATTTGCTATTTTTAACTAGGGAGAAAGCTAACAAAAGAAAAATAGGAGTGAAATGGTTTAAATAAATAGAACCCTTTGTATGTTTGCTGGGATAGGAGTGGTTTGGGGTCACTTTGATGTCCTAGGCGTGCTTTTATTAACAAAACCCACCCCTCTCCTGAGCGCAGGGCTATGCCTTTTCCTGGCACCCCCTTTTTACGCACCACAAAGTGATTCATTGCTGTTGTGAGACAGCTCCTGGTGTGGAACAGGACGTGGCTGTCCCAATTTCAGGATTTGGTTGATAGCTCTGAGCTGCTGTTGCCCCTTCAGCCCCCAGGCCTAAGAACCCCTAAGGTCATGCGAAATGTTAACACCAGCTCCTTTTCCTGCTCAGTGTCATGAGCTCGGACACAAACCTTTGACACAGGACTAAGAACTGAAGGCCCTAGCTTCACCTGCACGTGCTCATCACTTCTGCAAGTATTTAATACTAAAAACGACCCGTGGTCACCTATGGAGGGAGCAAATGCATAGGTGACCTGGCACTCTGGATGCCGTCCTTGTTCCAATGACTCCAAGCCTCTTAGCTCTAATTTGAATTTCCTGCAGAGGTCTGGGTTCTGCTGAAACTGTTTATAAATGCTTGAACCCTTCAAGGCTGTTTGCCTTCTCCATAGTGCTATATTTAGGACTTTAAGCATAAATAGAAATTTTAATGCCGTCTCTTGTCATGGTTGTGGCTGACAATCAATATGGAAACCTTTTGTTCTTTACCCCAGAACTGCAATGTATTGATCACTGTCAGTTGTTGCTGTCTGAGATAGAGCTGGAGCTAGGGAATAACCATCGCGTGATTGCTGAACTCCCTGACTTCAAATCCTGCAGAGATGGTTTGGAAGGAGAGGTGATTGTTTTAAAAAGAAAACAGTTCAAAGCTACTTCATCACCTTCCTAATTTTCAAATTATTATAATTATGGCCACAGCTGGGGATTTGTTACTATTTGCCAGTTCTTTTCTTTTTATTTCATTTAAGCGCTGTCAGTTTGCAGGTATTTGCTCCCTATCATTGATTAAATATGGGGGGCTTAGGAGATGCAGACAGCCTGGCCACAACAAAATCTAGAGAGACCTTCTGCAAACAGCTTAGTGCCCTAATTGCAATATTCTATCTATACAACGATATCCTTTGTTTTAGCTTGATTCCCAGCCCACTGAAGATCATAAAAGGACTACCGTTTACTTCATGGAGCTCTGCAAACAACCCCCTGAAACCAACAAAAATCAGATAAGATTTCACAAAATATATAAGTACATAAATAAGCACTTCTTAGTGATCTGTACCACATGGGATATGACAATAAAATAATGAGTAGGCAGTATTCAAAGCTTTTCCTTCCCGGATCATCCAAAGGGCAGCTTTTATTCTAACACATTGTAAATATTTTCCCCATTGTTTGAACCTCATTTGTCTGCCAACTCCGACGACATGTCCTAACCACACAAAGGACTAAAGAGGGGTGACATTGAAGAGAATCACTTTCAAGACGCGCAGGCATCAATAAAGCGGAATAAATTAGCTGCTCTGTGGAGATCTGTCACTAACGGAAAGAGAGCCAAGCCGAGCGGTGCTTCCGCAGCACAGTAAGGGTGGGAGCGGCTTTGGCAAGCAGCAGCAATCCCACAACAGCCGCATTTTTCATTACCTTTGTATGTCCAGTGCGTGAGGTGTGAGCAGCTCAGATGCACCAGGAGCAGGTGGGACAAGACAGCGGTGATCCACATGTCCCTCGCTGTATCTACGGTCAGAACCAAGGTGGGGAGTGCCTTTCTTTAAAAATCCTCAGGAAGCGTGAAGTACCAATTTACTCCAGGTCTGGCCTCGCCAGCACCCATCCCGCCCTGCTCCTCACCCATCACCCCCTGCTCCTCACCCACCCAAAACAGTAACAGCAAACAACGCCACAGAGACATTTGATTTGGACAGTCAGCTTTAAACGCTGAAGGTACTTTATCGATGCCCTGAACCAAGCCGCCCCTGCAAACGGAACAGTTTTCCCCTGATGGCCAAAGCTGACGGCCTCGGAGCTGCGGTCTGACCCGACTGCTACACACTCGCTGCCTACTTTTCCTGTCCGTTCCTTCCTGGTGAGCAGGTAGAAAAGCTTCATTGCGAGTAGGTGTAAAACAGTGCTTTGTAAGCAAAGATACCTAACACGGATCTCAAAACCCTGTCCTGAGGTGGCCAGCTCTTTCCCGGTTATACAGAGGAGGAGCCAAGGCAGAAGGCATTTAAGGGACTTGTTTTCAAAAGTTTTCACCATCTTATTAGAATGCAAAATTGTAGACACTCGGCTCCTTTGAAAAAATCAGGCTTCTAAGGCCAGATTGAAAAGTGTTCCACACCCACAGGCCCAGTATTTCAAAGCATTTTGCTTTCAACACCTTCCCTGGTCACTGAAAATCTAGTTTTGAATGTGAGAGATTTGCAACCTTTGGAAAATTCAGAGCTCTGAAAAACTGTTTAGATTGTTGAAAGATACAGGAGTGATAAAAGACGCTGAAACCCTGGTGGCTTTTTAAAACACACACAGGAATTCAAATCAAAACCAGTAGGTGTCAGATGTCTAAATGCTCTTGTGGACTTCAGCAGCTGCTCTGCACACCTTCAAACACTTGATTTCCTGAAAAATGTGTCCCAAGCACATAAATTGCCCAAGGTCCAGTGAAGAAGTCATTCGGCACACCAGGGAACAGACCATGGATCTTCTGCCTGCCTTTTTGTATCCTGTTCCCAGGCAGATGTCATTCCCTTTGAAAAGCCTTCTCCTCCCCCCAAGAGTGACGGACTGCTGACAGCCCTCTCTGCCCAGCAATGCCTCCCAACCCATAAACCCACAGTTTAATAACAAAAGGGGAGCAGAAATCTCCCCAGGAATGGAATTTTCACCTGGTACTGAGAAGAGCTACAGCCTCCACCAAATGCAGTACAATTTTGCCGCTCATTTCAGGTGACAGGCAGAAATATTAAACATTTGGCAAGAAAGCTCACAAGAGGGAAATCTCAGCACGTCTGTTTGCAACGTCCCTGCCACTTGCAACAACGTTTGCCATTATTATTTTCAGCAATAAGGTATGCAATAACAGCAATTCAACAATGAGAGCCACAGGCGAGTTACGGATTTCACGTCAACTCAGGTTTCTAGGATTAGACTGTGCTGAAGAACAGAAGCAAGCTTTTTATTCAAAATCTTACTCTTTGGAAGTTTATTGTTAACATCAAAAGGCCTTTCCTGGTTTATGCAGTGCGTATTTAATCTTTGGCCACTGCTGTAATATCGAGTTGATTAACCAAATGTGTATTTTTCCGTCTCTCCCCTAAAGAAGTCATCTATTCTGACAGTTGCACTGAGCTGCGTGAGGACTAAACTAATCAAACCTGCCCTGCAATGCTCTTCATAATCCGTGTGTATCCAGTTGGGTAAATAGGCTTTGACGCTAACTGAGGGAGAAATCTGGGGGGTTTATACCTCTGTACACTCCAGGATTCCACACAGCAGCACGCGAGGGTGCGAGCAAGAGCCAAGAACAGGAGGTCACCTCTGCACCAGAGCATCCCTCCTGTCACCCTGCCTGTGCGCGCACCGAGAGTGTTTAAATGGGTGTCATTTAGGGACAAGCCGTTTCTCTTGCCTGCGCTTTATCGATCCGCTAGCGCAGTCTGCACAAAGGATTTGAAATAAAGCCCATTCGGGAATGTGCTGGTGCCAGGAGACTGGAGACGACGGGGAATTAATTTTTAATGGAGCTTTTGCAATATGCTAAAATTGTGACATTTCGCTTGGCATCAGCAGGAGCTGTGGGTGCTCAGCACATCCAAAAACCAGGTCTCTGTTAGCTCGAGTTAGCTTCCCCCGAATTAGCAGCTACTCTGGAATATACAGCAATCTGGGGAGAGGATTTACTAAGGGCACCAAGTATGAATTTGTGTTGGAGTTATGACAGAAAAACAATTTTAATTCAACTCTTTCAATGTATCTGAACATTAAGCTTCTAGCTGCAAGCTGAATAATACGGAAGGAGTCCTTCTCCTGTATAAAGTATTGCACACGTCAACAGTTGCTTATTGGTTCTTGGAGCTATAGCGTTTTTTAGTGTATATGGTATTAAACCTGGCTGGCTTGAGGCTTGTCTACACTAGTCATCCATTTTTCTACCTCAATATAACTGCTAGAGAGGTATGGCTGTAGTGCCTAGGAACTTCAGATATCACAGCAGGACTGTGCTTGAAGTAAACTGGTGTTTCCCAGGTGAAGCAGATTGTAGGTTTAACAGGAGTCATCTCTGCGCTCCAATTTAGGCAGTGGGGAAATCTAAAGTCAGGTATCTCGGCCGTGAATATTCGTGGCATGATTTCTTCATAACCGCAGGCCACTTTCACACAGCCTCCAGCCTCCCTCCTCCCACCCGACTACAGTAGGAAATAAGCCTTTAATCCCACATCATTGGCTTCCATGCACTTCGCTTTTATCTCTACAGTTTTCCCTGACTCCTTGCCATCTTTTAAACCCTGCTTCTCCCAGGCTATTCCCTCTGTCCTCGCTGGCCCAAAGCTCAGCTCAGGTCTGACTTTCAGATCCATTCTGAGCATTGGTAGCCACATTAAAACCTTGACATTGGATTGAAGTAGCTGGCTCAGTACCTCAGCGCTCCTTTGACCCAGAACTTGCAAGGGTTAACGCCTTTCCCTCTGAATCAGCGGGAATTTCATCAGGGGTTGCCGTAATAGCTGCATCCCTCCCAAGACCAGCAAACATTTGCTCAGGAACAGGGCTGTTTGATGTGAGCCGGACAGATGCCTTCAGGCAGGCTGTCTAGGTTTTCCTAAGTGAGTCTAAAACCTCTTCAAACAGAGCTCTCTCCGCTGAAGTCATGCTGGGGGGATAAAAGTAGTTCCAAAACTGGCCCTCACTTCTTTGACATTTTACCCATGCTTTATTTTTTTTCTTTCTTCCCCTTTTTGCTCCCTGGTTTTCAACTACCGAAGGAGATGACAGAAGTCAGAGGTAGGAAAGCACTAGAATTCATTTCTCCAGTTCACACAATCCCTTTAGGCTTCCTTGCTCTTATATAATATTTTGATGTGCATGGCTAAATTCACCTTCTACCGACATAAATTCAGATACATTTGTTGATTCTACTGAAGCTTTGTGATAGAAACGGGCTTTGAGGCAGTCAGGGGTAGGCACCGGAGGTTTACACCAGTGTTCCTAAAAGCAGGATTTGTCCATTTGAAAACAGAGAGGTTTCCTCTGCAAATTCCATCTCACGGTCTAACAGATCTCAGCATTAGCTACCTGCAGTTCGTTGTCAGCCTAAATTTTCTTTTGCTCAGTTTCAGCCAATTACTCTTCGCTGTAGCTACAGCCCTTGGATTATCTTAAAATACTTTTCCCTTTTTAATGTTCGCATCACTTCTGGGGTGGTTATCACCTCACCACGAGCACGAGCAGCCTTTCACTCGCCATTTCCCCGAGGTGGCGAAGAGGACAACAGGATGCTCTAAAATGGAGAGAACACGGTCGAATAATTCCTCTTCATTTTCATTTCTAGGAAATGTAATTACAGTTATAGGTCTATGTAGGTCTGCTCGACAGCCTTTGCTAAAAGTGACTTCATGTTCTGGATCTCTGTTTGAGCCTTTGAAAAAAACAAAACGTGAAGGGAGGATTAGGAGGAGGGAGGTCAATCTTCCCTCTGCATTTAGTGGGAGGTACACAGGAACGTGGCCTGAGCGCAGGCGTTGAAGGAGTGCTGTCGAGAGCCGGTCTGGGAGAAATTTCTCCATCATACCAGGGCATTTTGCTGTGGATTGCAGGGTGGTGGGATAAAGAAGGAATAATTCAGTGGCAAGACAGCTAAGCAGCATGTGCAAATAGCTGCCCACCTTCTCAGACACTGTGTTATCAGCATTTTATACGTATCTGCACCTCCTTCCATAACAATATTCATTTTGCTCCTGATCTCCCAGTGTAGTAACACGCAGAGGAAGCACAGTTTCTGCTCAGTCTCTCTGAAAATCAATATTATCAGTGTATAAACACAGGAGAAGACCCTAAGCCCCTTAACAAACAAACACTCTTCACAGAACAAATACGGGCTCTGGAAATGCGGCTGTTGCCCATTGCTGGCTAAGCACTTCTCCTTTCTTGCTTCAGCTGCGTTGTGTGTTGAGCAGCTGTGACATCCAGTGGCCAAACACAATACAGTTGGGCTTGGTACAGAATTCTTCATACATGGTAACAATAACAGAGCCCTTCCATTGCGCTTTTCATCTTTGAAGAGCTGTACAAACGTTCATTAACCCCTACACAGCTCAGTGAGGCAGATGAATGTAGTGACCCTAAAAGTACATGTGAGCAGGGGAATCCACTGTCCAAGCTCTCCACAAGCATGGCAGTCAGCTCCCTGGGGGGGTGAAGAGCCTGCCCTCAGGTCAGAGTGCAGGACCTTCAGCCACCCAGCTGCTGACAGATAAGGGATCAGAAAGGTGCAGCTCATTCAGCTTCTGATGAAGAGGTCACACCCGGGGAAGGGTTGTCTTCTTCTCTAGAGCCGAGGAGCCCATGGTCAGGGACTGAGGAAAGCTAAACAGGAGGACAGAGCAGAACCAGAGCTGGTTTGGAAGAGATGCTTTGTCCAAGGCCTGGCTGGAGGAAAAGGCTTCTGCAGTGCTTTTCTGGAGATGTCAGAGGGCTTTGTTGATAGATGTGGAAGGGAGCACA